GCAGTAATCGACAACTGTCTGCAGAGTCAATAGCGAAAGACCTCTAAACTTTGTGTGGCCTTCAGATTAGCACAACAGTGCATAGAGAGGTTCATAGAATGGGTTTCCATGGCCGAGCAGCTGCATCCAAGCCTTACATCACCAAGTGCAATGCAAAGAGTCGGATGTAGTGGTGTAAAGCATGCCGCCACTGGACTCTAGAGCAGTGGAGACGTGTTCTCTGGAGTGACGAATCATACTTCTCTGTCTGGTAATCTAATGGACGTGTCTGGGTTTGGCGGTTTCCAGGAGAACGGTACTTGCCTGACTGCATTGTGCAAAGTGTAAAGTTTGGTGGAGGGGGGATTATGATGCGGGGTTGTTTTTCTGGGGTTGGGCTTGGCCCCCTTAGTTTCAGCAAAGGGAACTCTTAAGGCGTCAGCATACCAAGACATTTAGGACAATTTCATGCTCCCAGCTTTGTGGGAACGGTTTGGGGATGACCCCTTCCTGTTCCAACATGACTGCGCACCAGTGCACAAAGCAAGGTCCATAAAGACATGGATGCGCAAGCTTGGGGTGTAGGAACTTGACTGGCCTGCACAGAGTCCTGACCTCAACCCAATAGAACACCTTTGGGATGAATTAGAGCGGAGACAGTGGGCCAGGCCAATTTGTCCGACATCAATTCCTGACCTCACAAATGCTCTTCTGGAAGAATGGTCAAACATTCCCATAGACACACTCCTAAACCTTGTGGACAGCCTTTCCAGAAGAGTTGAAGCTGTTATAGCTGCAAAGGGTGGGCCAACTCAATATTGAACCCTAAGACTGGGATGCCATTAAAGTTCATGTGTGTGTGTAACGACAGATGTCCCAATACTTTTGGCAATATAGTGTATATTGAAATCTTGAAAGTTTATCTTGAGATTTTATATTTAAAACCCAACAAAAAGCATATACTGTACAACAAAAGACTGGATACCTTGATTCCAGAAATGTTTAGATATTATTTCCACCATTTCATAGACACAGCCTGGCTCGTTTCACAGAGTTTCTTTGCTTCTTCAGGAGAAGTGTTTTTTTTTTCTGAAGTATAACGTTGAGTGGTCTATAGGTTTATCCAAGGTAAATAACACCAATTGTAAGTACATACAAAAAATACACAATTTATACCACAATAAATATAAAAGACCAAGAACAAAAGTTGTAATAGTAGTAGTTGCTCAACCACACATCCAACAACATGGCACCACCTGTTTAGGGAGAGGTAGATTCTGGCTAAAGAAAGTTAGGCCTTGTGTAAGGAAAGATTTGTAAGATGCAGGGACATAATAGGGATGGTCTGGATCAGCCCTGGACACTTCTTTAGTGTGGGAAAGGACTTTGTTACCCAGCCTGTAGCCTGGAGTGGCACATCCTTGTCTTCTATACTGCCATCACAGCACCCTGCCTAGGAGTCCAGCGGACAGCCAAGGCGAACTGTTTAAAGGAGAAATCCTTGAGCACACTGTCGCTTGTAAGTTCTGTATTATTGAACTGCCTTGTTACAGAAATGTAGAAGTGCCTTAATGTCCAAACTTATACTTTTGGATAGGGACAGCATTGTTGTTTACGATTATTCATTACATAAACAAGGAAATTCCTATATGTCGTCTCACCTGGTCCCTTTACATTATGGGCGCACAAATATCCTCTCCACAGTTTGGCATAGTTGACAGGATAGGCTCTTACCAAGAGAAGACACTATATACACTGACTGGTGCATCCTTCAAGTTTCTAGAAGCCTCTGGTGCAGAGGTGAAGTGTCATGCTCAAAAGGAGACATGTGGCACACACCTCTCAGGAAGGCCTGGAGTGCATGGTGGTAGGCTGCAGAATGTGAGTCAGAGCATGGGCCATGGGTTCCTATCCAATCTTGCTGCAATTATTTCACACAGGGCCCTAATGCAGGAATTAGCTTATCAAATGCTGCTAGGAAGCGCTACATACTGGTTAGATTTCCTTGGGTATGTTCACCCATCTTGCCCTTGATCCCTAATGGAGTTTCCCTTCTTATTATATGCATTTGTCCTCTATGCATACTTACAACCTTGTTTAGTAGCAGCTTTTTTGCACTCCAGTAAGGAGAAGATATTCCTAATCTAGTTTCTTTGAGTTTCTAATACAGAATGATTATTCTTACCCTTTAATACAAGTACAATTTTGTATATATTATTATCGTTTGGATTTTTAAAGAAGGGAGTGCCAGGTAGCCTATGTTCCTGCATGTGTTTTTTAGCAACTATTATTATATTATTATTATACAGTATATTTATAAACAGTTCGCTCAGCATTGTACATTACAAAGGGAGACAGAACATGCGACAGTACAATAACAATACAATGCGATACACAAGGTGTTCGAGGGCCCTGCTACTTGGAGTTTACAATCTAGGAGGGAGGGGATAGTGGTACAGGAGGAAATAGCTGTGGGGGATGGAGTGGTAGGAAGAGTGGAGGAGGTCGAGAATTTAGCAGGGGTTGGTGTAGGCTTCCCTGAAGAGGTGGGTTTTCAGGGTGCGCCTAAAGGAGAGAAGAGTCTGAGGGATTGGTGTAGGGAGTTCCAGAGTGTGGGTGACGCCCTGGAGAAGTCTTGGAGGCGGGCATGAGAGGAGGAGACTAGGAAACTAGAGGGAAGGAGGTCTTATGAGGAGCGGAGAGTGCGTGTAGGGTGGTACTTGGATATTAGGTCGGTGATGTAGTTTGGGGCAGTATGATGGACAGCTTTGTACATCAGTGTTAGGATTTTGAATTTGATCCATTGGGCAATCGGAAGCCAGTGGAGGGATTGGCAGAGGGGGGTGGCGGAAACGGAGCGGTTGGTAAGGTGGATGAATCTGGCTACCGTATTCAGGATCGACTGAAGCGGGGATAGCCTGTGGCGAGGCAAGCCAGTGAGGAGGGAGTTGCAGTAATCGAGTCGTGATATGATGAGGGAGTGGATGAGCTGCTTAGTGGTTTCTGGGGTTTGGAGCATACGTATTTTGGCGATGTTGCGGAGGTGGAGTCTGCATGAGTTTGTTAGAGAATGAACTTGGGGCAGAAGGATAGATTGGAGTCTAGAATGACACCTAGTACTCTGGCTTGCGGGGCGGGCCTGATGGTGGCATTGTTGGACGTGATGGAGAAGTCAGTGGGGGGTGGTGTGCGGGCTGGGGGGAAGACTAGGAGCTCAGTTTTGGAGAGGTTCATTTAAGGAAGTGGAGTGACATCCAATCTGATTTGTCGTTCAGTAGGCTTGTGATTTGGGCGGAGACTGAGGGGGTGAGGCGAGGGGTCGAGAGATAGATTTGCGTGTCATTCTGCATAGAGGTGGTAGTTGAATCTGTGAGAGTGTATGAGTTGGCCAAGGGAGGAGGTGTAGATGGAGAAGAGAAGGGGCCTGAGGACAGAGCCTTGAGGGACCCCAACAGAGAGGGGGAGTGAGGTGGAGGTGGTAGCGTTATAGGTAATGCTGAAGGAGCGTTGTGATAGGTAGGACGAGAGCCAGGAGAGAGCGGAATCTCTGAGGCCAGGGGAGTGTAGTTTTTTGAGGAGGAGGGGGGTCGACTGTGTCGAAAGCCGTGGAGAGGTCGAGGAGTAGGAGCTTATAACTTGCATTTGTCTGACTTTGTTGGACTACATGGATTGATTTCTTTTTTTTTTATTTTATTTTTTTATTTATTTACTGACTATTGTTGTTTACTTAAGATAAATCTTTAGATCACCCAACATCATCATTCAAAAATACTTTTCACGAAGCATAGAAACATCATGAAGTGAGTTAGTCTGTTTACATGAAAGGGTGTACTTTTTTAATGTAATGTTTTTAAAATTCTATTCTAAACATTTATTTTGTTTTAGAAATACATGGAATGATAACACTCTAAAAACTGGCCAAATATAGGTAGAATTTCAAACGAAGATTCTTAGGAAAATAATGTTCTAAGAAAATTTGTTTGGTTTTGTAATCATTAGTGGGTCAAATTGATGTTCGTTTTCTACCGCTGTGACGAGAACATTTGAAAGAGCAGAATGGATACATTTTCTCGAACAAACAAATTTCTAACAGTGTATGTGTTTTTTGTTTTTCAGCTGACAGTGAGCTAAAGCCCGCTGTTGGCTGAAGTCACTCTGCTGGTCCAGAGTCTGGAGGGATCCAATTTTAATGTCAGGGCCACCCAAATGCCTGACCAGCAGCTGCTGGCTCAGCTTCTCAACGCATTACTGAGCCAGCAGCTTCCATTCCTTCCACAGCCAGGAACTCCAGTGGGCACTGCAGTGGCAGAGCAGAGAGCCGATGACTGACAGTCACTGGCTCTCTGCTCACTGAAGACTGAGAACTGTGTGATCAGCAGTCTTTGACCACTCAGTTTTTGGTCTTAGAGGTATCAGGGAACAGGTGCAGCATTGGACCTATGCTGCATGCACCAAGATGAGTATGTATGTTTGTTTTTTTTTAAATCCCACACTTCTCTTTTAGGGCCAGTTCATACTATAGAAATGCAGTCTAGATGTGTTCCGGATGCGTTTCTGTATGTGTGTTTTTGGCACGTTGTGGTGCATTTTTGATGCGTTACAGTTCATTTTTCCCATCTCTTTTTCTTCAATTTAAATAGGGACATGTGCGTTCCAGTCCATTTTTTATGTGTTTTACCGCGTTCCAGTACAGTTCTGTGCAGGAAAAATGCAGCCTGTTCTACTTTTTTTTCTGCATCTGGAATGCACTGGAACTGCAAGCACTAATATGAACTATGACATTGACAACCATATAACCTACTTTCTGTGTGTTTTGTATGCAGAAAAAAAGCACACTGAAACGTATGTAGTGTGAACTGGCCCTTAAGAATAGCAATTTGTTTCTTTGGGTCCACCCTATCTTGGTAGTGTGGTTAGTGTAAGTTTTGTGTCACTCATCTTGACTTTTTGAAGTGTCAGAAGCTGACTATAGAATCTCCAGCTCCAGTAGACACTCATACTTAAAGTGTTTCTGAACCTAGGACCATGCATTGACTATATCTGGTCTCCCACAGTACACAGAACATGGAAATGCAATTATTTTAGTAAATATAAACTGCTAAATGCCTTTTCTCATCAGCAGTTAGAGCAGTCTTGTGACTTCTATCAGTGTTCAGCAGAGCCCTGGTTAAAGTTTGTAGGAAGAGTTTTCTTTCTGCTCTAGGAGGATGCAAAACCCCTGGCCTCTGTCTGGAGAGTGCTGATTGGCCCTGTGCTGATCACATGCATTCTCCCAAGAAAAAAAAAAAACTTCTCCAGTAATACACACTAACCTGAGCATGTGAAGAATGGCTATGGTTCAGTCTGTTTTATGAGGACATAAGGCGTGGACATTTGAACAAGAAGAAGAGCAGAGAAGTCAGGATAAAACAGCCTTTTTACACAATGCAGAGGATTAACCCCTTAGGTTCCACAGTAAGTATAACAAGCATGCTTTACTGCATATACAGACTGATATTACTTTTGTGGATTTAGTATCACTTTAATACTTAAAGATGTTCTTCACCCTGAAAACAAAAATGTAAAGCTCCCCCACCCCCCCAAAAAAAACATTATAAATATGGCAGAGGAGGGGGAAGGATGAATAAAAAAGCGGAACTTTCACTTTGGGTGAAATTCTGCTTTAAAGTGTTTCTGTGAACGGAAATGGTTGAGTAGTTTAGCAAAGGACGTGTGCAGAAGTGACAACATTTAGTCCACAAAAAAGCTGTACGTTGTCAGCCCACAACACAGCGTAAGGTCCATTCAGAACATCAGGGTGTGTGTTGACGCATGTTAGGCTGCATGCAAGCGTGCCTTAAGGCAGCCTATAGATTGTAAACATGACGAGCAGGGCCCTCTGATTCCTCTTGTACCAAATTGTATTGTAACTGTAATTTCTGCCTTCATTTTGTAAAGTGAACTGTTAGCGCTATACAAATCCTGTATTATGATAATAATATTCAAAATGAATGGGTTGTCAAAGCATCAAACAATACCTAAAATGTTGCATGCAAAATAAATAAAACCACACCAGGGGCGGACTGACCATTGGAGCACTTAGGCACTGCCCGAGGGCCCGCGGTCAGTAAGAGGCCCCATGAGATGCCCCTGGTACCTTTCATTGGCTTTTTCATAGGCTTTTTTGGGTGTGGGCGAGGACACAGGGGCCCCACGATCCCCTATTGCCCGGGGGCCCCATGAGTTGTCAGTCCGCCCCTGAACCACACCCCATGTATGTAACGTGGTTATGGAAAGGTTACCACAATGCAGTAGTAGCCGAGTACATACCAGGCATATGAACAGGTATTGTTTGTATTTGCAGGGTCTTTAAAAGGATTAAACACTAGAAATGCATTTCATATGTGTGTGCTGCATATGGTTTTTTTTTTTGTTGTCTTCACATACATTTTACACTAAATCTCTAGTGTACGGAGTGTATTTCTTCCATTTACAAGACCATCTGATATTTGACTCGCATGCAGTCTTAATGGCAGAAGCTGACAAGATGCCTTTACAGCAATTATCAATCTACACAATATGTTTTGCAAATCAACAAATACATTAGTCCTTTTTTTATTATTATTGTAACGCTTCATTTTGCTACTTCATACAGCTGTTCTCTGTGTAACAGATATCCTGTCTTCTGTCATACGTACCTAAATTGCTTGTTTTGCTAGCAATGTTAATGCTGCTTCCTGTGGCGCTCTTAGTCTAGATTGACATTTTAATCAATAATTATGAGTAATATTCAGAGGATCATGCTGGGATGCTGCATACTTCAAATAGATAATAGTATCAATTATTGTTATTATTGACTCGTTGTAACAGACACATTCTTTCACTATGATAAAAATCAATTCTCTTGTGTGTCATGGAACAGCTAAATGGAATGTGAATGCTCAATATGTCTCTTTTTTTTTGTTTCCAGAATAACTTACTGGGCTTCACATGTTGTTTTTTATAGTTAGACATCAGGTGCATGCTTTTTCAAGGGCCCATAGCATATGTGTACAACTGTAATTCTTCACTCTAAATCATGGGGCCACATATGGCTCTCCAAACCTTTCAGTGTGGCAGACATAGAAAAGCAGCAAGGTAGTTATGATCCATGAGCTCTTTTCCACTGTGTGAACCTCATCAATACTGTTGGCCTTTTTTTGGAACTCCAGAAAATTCCAAAAATTTAAATATCCCACTAGTGGCCTTCTAACTCCATGTAAAAATTGGAGATGGAGATCTAAACATGAGATCTAAACATGGCAATGAGATTGTGCTATCTTTATTGAGAAAAGAGAGTCCTCTGCTAACTGTTCTTAAAGTGTTACAAAACCCAAGACCCTGCTTTCACTATATCTGGTCTCCAACAGTACACAGAACATGGAAATTCAATTATTTTAGTAAATATAAACTGCTAAATACCTTTTCTCATCAGCAGTTAGAGCAGTCTTGTGACTTCTATCAGTGTTCAGTAGAGCACTGGTTAAAGTTTGTAGTAATGTTTTTATGATGACAAATGTTAATGTTTACATGTACTTTAACCATTAGCCGCCCGGCCAATGGCCGTTTGGCGGCTTCAGATGTGCCTCTTCATTCCGGGTGCACGCCATTTGGCGTGCTCCCGCACATGCGCCGTTTGCGGTAATGCAGAGCGGCGCAGCAGCGAGATCTGTCACAGGCCGTGCACCTCGGACACGGCCGATGACAGATCCGAGTACCCGGCTCCCTTTGCTGGTACCATGTGACCTGCTGTGACCAATCACAGCAGGTCACATGACAGTTGTATACAATGGATGGCTTCATTCAAGATGCCATCCATTGTATACTAGTGCCTAGCTGTGAATGGTCACAGCTAATCACATGCACATGTCATGTGATTAGCTGTGACCAAATCACAGCTAAGCACAAAAAAAAAAAAAAAAAAAAGCTGAATGAATCGATTTCATTCAGGTAAATGCTTGCTTATAGCAAAGTAATTCTTTGCTATAAGCAAATTGTGTAAAAAAAAAAAAAAAATACTGATCACTTCCCCAAAGTAGTACAGTGTTACTATGGTAACATTGTACTACTTTTGGTCATAGTAAAATATGAAAAAAAAATCTTAAAAAAAATAAAAAAAAAATGTAATAAAAAATTAACTATAATAAAAAAAATAAAAAAAATTAAAAAAAATATATATATATTTTTTTTTCATACTGTCACCAGTCAGTGTCCCTGTTAACCTCCATGCCAGTTATATGATGACGCTGTACTGCACTGGTGACAGTATGTAAAAAAAAAAATAGTGAAAATAATTTTTTTAATTTTTTCATTTTCCGAAAAATTATGACATAAAAATAATACAACTTCAAAAAACTCACCATGCCTCTTATGAAGTACGTTGGATTGTCTACTCTGCAAAAAGGGGTCATTTGTGGGATATCTGTACTGTTCTGACATTCTTGGACCTCAAGAAATTAGATTGGCTGTCAGTACTTCAGGATTGATCAATATTCAGATCTATACCATAGTTTGTGAACTCTATAACTTTCCTACAAACTAAAAAATACATCCTAATTTGGGTTATTTTCACCAAAGACATGTAGCAGAATACATCTCGGCCTAAATTTATGAAGAACAATTATTTATTTGTAAACTTTTATAACAGAAACAAAGAAAAATGTGTTTTTTTTTTTCAAAATTTTTGGTCTTTTTTTGTTAATTTAGCAAAAAATAAAAAACCCCAGCGGTGATTAAATACCACCAAAAGAAAGCTCTAGTTGTGTGAAGAAAATGATAAAATTTTAGTTTGGGTACAGTGTTGTATGACCGCGCAATTGTCATTCAAAGTGTGAGAGCGCTGAAACCTGAAAAATGGCCTGGGCAGGAAGGTGTAAAATTGCACGGTATTGAAATGGTTAACCACTTGCCCTCCAGAGGATTTACCCCCCTTCCTGACCAGGCCATTTTTTTTGTTACAGCACAGCATTACTTTAACTGACAATTGAGCGGTTATGCAACGCTGCATCCAAATGAAATGTACGCCTTTTTTTTCCCCACAAATAGAGCTTTTGGTGGTATTTGATCGCCTGAGCGGTTTTTATTTCTTGCACTATAAACAAAAAAAGACCAACAATTTTGAGAAAAAAACAATATTTTTGACATTTTGCTATTAAACATGTTCAATAAAAAAATGTAAAAATTTAAAAACGTATTCTGCTACATTTCTTTGCTAAAAAAAAATCCCAATACGTGTAAATTAATTGGTTTACGTGAAAGTAATAGCGTTTACTAATGGCGGTATATGTACTGGGACTGTGGCGGGCATTCTGACACTGGGGGGAACTGACTTGGTGTCACTGACATCCCCAGTTTTTATTTCTTGCGCTATAAACAAAAAAAGACCAACAATTTTGAGAAAAAAAAACAATATTTTTGACTTTTTGCTATTAAACATGTTCAATAAAAAAATGTAAAAATTAAAAAACGTATTCTGCTACATTTCTTTGCTAAAAAAAAATCCCAATACGTGTAAATTAATTGGTTTACGTGAAAGTAATAGCGTTTACTAATGGCAGTATATGTACTGGGACTGTGGCGGGCATTCTGACACTGGGGGGAACTGACTTGGTGTCACTGTCATCCTCAGTGATACCAATACAGTGATCAGTGCTAATAAAAAGCACTGACACTGTACTAATGGCACTGGGCAGGAAGGGGTTAACATCTGAGGCGATTAAAGGGTAACTGTGTGCTGTGTGTGTTTTACTATGGGGCTGTGTCTGTGCTTTCCACTGTAAGCACACTGCTTTGTATGGCTCTGCTATGCAAAGTCATACAAAGTAGTGTGCTGGAGCTGGCAGGGGAGAGAACTGTATTGTTTACATATAGTTCTCTCCCTTTGTCTGCATTACTTGGTGATCACCGGATGCCATCGAGTAATCACCTGCCGGGGCCCGGTGATTGACAACTGAAGCTGTGAATAGTGGTACGTGTAGGGCACGCGCATTTGCAAAATCACGTATATATACGTGATTTTGCGCACCCTTTCCACCCTGTAGCAGTATTTCTGCTATAGGGCGGTGGTAAAGCAGTTAAGTAAAGATACCTCTGTGAGAATAAACGAAGAATGTCAACAGGTCTTCTCTGAGATATAAAAATTATTAGCTTGTTTAAAAGTAAACTATATAATCTAGGGTTGGGCATAACTGGAATTCTTAAGAACATCTCAATAAAGGAGTTTTTTTCTTACCTTTTTCCAGAGAATAGAGATGTAATCACAGCCCTAACACATGTAGAAAAATACAATCTTGTCTGAACTTGAGAGTGCTGGCAGATATCATTATCCTGTTTCTTCATGCTATAAAGCTTTTGTGGATAGCCAAATGCCATACAGGCAAGCAAAAACTGAGACAGCTGTTTACTAGCAGCTCTTAATACAAAGTATAAAATTGCAAGTTTGCTGTCTTCTTCACATAGTAGATTTATATGTTTGCAGTGGGAAATAGATAAGCGCACCAACAGTTAAATCTGTCACATCATTGCTGATAAGGTTTGCTTAGGATGGCTTTTATATTAAAGTGACCCTGTCATATAGGGTCGAAACAACAAATAGTAATACCTGCCAAGGAAGAGGCTGTATGCTTACCTTTCCAGTTTCTGGCTTGTGTTTTGAAACACCACTGCAGGTTTTCAACTGGTCAGATGGTTGAATACATGTTTCCCTTGTTGCACACAGTGATTCCTTCTGAAGCTCATTTGTCCTCTAGTGGCATACAGTCCAGCAAGAGGAACCACTGTGTGTGGTGGGGGTAGCATGTAGGCAGGAGCAGTTTACCCTCCACTCTGTAGGTGGTGCTATGTGCAGACCTCAATACAGATGGCATGGAGAATCAAAAGCGGTTTTTTTTTCCTCTGCAGCCTCCATAGGTGCCACTGGGAGAAACAATGGTCTGATTGGACAATGCAACTCTGGATGACCTCAGAGGCCATCTTTAGTTAATACTAGTGGTGGTGGTTGTGGTTGTTGCTTCTGTTGTTATCTGTTATCTTCCACTTAACCAAATAATTTTACCACCCTTCATTGGACTTTGTGTGCCATTCTTCCTGCTTGGCTGCCAATTTCCTGGCAATGCCCACAAGCAGGAATCTACACATCTAGAAGTCTTAAGTATTTTGGGAGGTAGGGGAGCACCATCATGAGGGCATTTCAAGACACGGGCGCCAGAAAGGAAAGTAGGGCAGCACAACAGCTAAGTGGTAAGCAATCCTGCCTGGCAGCACTAGAACCATTGCTTTGAATCCCAACCAGGGCATTACCTGCACGGAGTTTGCAAGTTCTCCCTGTGCCTGTGTGGGTTTTCTCTGTGTATTCTGATTTCCTTCCACACTCCAAAGACATGCTGCTAGGTTAATTGGATCCTGTCTAAATTGGCCCTAGAATGTGTATGTATGAATATGGAGTTAGGGACTTTAGATTGTATACTCCTTGAGGGTTAGGGACTGATGTGAATGTACAATGTATGCCAAGCGCTGTGTAAATTGATGGCACTATATAAGTACCTATAACAAGTATAGAATCTCTTTTTACAGGTATTACTGTTTGTTATTTTGATTCTGTAGAGACACGGTCATTTTACGCAGGATTCATGTACAGTATTTAAATGAATTGCTATTCAATATTTTTAAATGTAACTGGTTAAAAAAAGTCCTTCAAGACAGGTCCATTTGGTATCCCACTTTTAATGTCTGAGTACAGCTGAATTGATTTCGGACAGATTTTTACTGTAACTAATGGAGGTGTTTAGTGTCCAGGTAGTCTCTTTCTTATAGCAACTTTATCAGGCTACATGTCCCCCCGCAATAGAAAAGCTTTAATAGTCACCTCTTCAGTGGCCTGTCTCTCCTACCTTCACTTCCTTCCAGTGCCACTTTCGGGAGCTTCAGATGCTTGGTTCCATTTTCAAAATCATGTGTCACTGCTGTAAACTGTATTGATGTAACGTTTGGAATATGGAATCACAATGTGGAGGAGGAAACACAAGCATTTGACACTCTCAGAAATGTTGAATGCCAAAGAGTCTTACTGAGGTTGCAACACTGGAACAGAAAAGAGAGGCAAGGTAGGAGCTTCTGAAGAAGTGATTATAAGAGCTCTTCTATTGTAAAGAATTGTGATAAGACTTCTCTAGCCTGACAGGGTCACTTTAAACCTTAATAGTATAGTGCTCACAGACATTTCTCCACAATTGAATGACAGCTTTGGTTTCAGCAAAAATTCTATATAAAACAAAGCAAGAAGCTAGTGCTAATTAAAGTGATAAGTCAATCAGCGTTAGCAGATATATAAAGTGACACAGTGTAAATAATCATCCAAATAAAGTGAATATTAGTGCTAATAAAGTGACAAAGTCCGTATATATATCAATAAACGTGAAGTCTCAGCTAAAGGTGATCCTTTTTATGTCTTCTGGTGATCTATAAATAATAGAATTACGCACTCACCAGATGCGCAGTAACATCATACATTTGAGAACATAATATCTCAGTGGGTCAGCTGGATCCTCTTATGGACATCTATGAAAACGCGTCAGGAAGGAGCTGCAGTGTCCTGAAGTCACGCCCCTTGGTGCTCCGACCAAGTTGGAACCTCACCGATATGACTGCTGTAATAGCAGACAATAGAGTGCGACTTGGCATGCAATTTGCATGCCAAGTCGCACCCAGTGCGACTGGGGGGGGGTAATAATTTAATGTCTTTGCATGTCAGGAGAGCATCCATGTGAATAAAAGTTCTTATCATGTAACACTCTTGAGTGTCATATTATTATTAGGCTATTATTTTTTTTCCCAGAAAGTTAAGATACACTTTAAATAACTCCAATGTCAGGAAGGAAGGTGTATTCCCTTTTAGAATTACAGTACATCCCCTTTTACAATTACATTTCCTCAGCAGGCAAAAATATATTTTTTGAAAATGATCATAATAACAGACATTAACAGAAAATGGCTGGAAACACACTGGGGGAATTTAGCTTTTTGATGTCATAAAATTGATAGCATGAATTTTCCTCACTGCAGACGCGGGACATCCTCCAGCAGTTAGAACAATCACATCTTTGGTGGTGTTTGGAACAGAGTGAGGAAGGAAGGGCTCATTTCCTCGTCTTAGGACACCCCCTGCTAAAATTAGAAAGCAGCCATTAATGCTATGAAAGTACGAGTCTCGATAAAGACATTGTTACCTAATGCTCTAGATGGAAATAACCATACACCTGCCAGGAAAATGAAATGTAAGTGATGGTATGACCAATAAAGTTATTACGAAGTAAACGTGCTTCACGCACCAAGGTTACAAGTGGCAGCAGCTATTCATCTTCAAGTGTTTGTCAGGGAATGCTATCAAATATGATTAGGAGTTTGTACTGTAAGGTACTGTAAGCTGTAGTACTGTTTAACCTGAAAATGAGGCCTCAAAGTACATACAGGGCACACAGCTTACCAACTCAGTTTTCATTTATGTGTACCACACTTACTGCTTACTCCTTTTTGATCAGGGAACCAATTTTCGGGCTCATGCTCACCACTGGCAGTCTCTACCACCCTTTTTAAAATTCATGGTGAATTACTTTTCAGAGGATGGTGATGCAGTAGCTGCCAGGCATTCAGGGACCCATACTGCCACCAGGGCTGCTGTTAGAAACCACGGAGCCCCATATAACCAACCTGACAGGGACCTCCCAAAAAAAACCCAAGTTTACTATACTTCATTTATTAACACAGCGAGTGATTGGTACTGATCGCTCACTGTGTTCATTCAGGAAAGGAAGGGGCCTAGAAAATGTGACATATTTACTGGAACCTTCCCCCATTCTCCATCCTGAAGGATCTTATTGTTCCAGTGCCTGCCGTGCCAGTTCCAGTGCCGGTGGGAGGCAAAGGAGGGAAGCCGACAGCACTGTGGTGGTGGGGGCACATAGGGGGCCTGGGTAACAGGGGGAAACATATGGTGCACAAGGAGGTTAATGTGGAGCATTTACTGGAACTAATCTCCTATATGGCTCTTTCTGCAGCAGCTGAAAGCCGATGGGAGGGAGAGGAAAAGAAGCCAGCTTTCAGCTGTTGCAGAAAGAGCCATACAGGAGATCCATTCCCTGCCTACATCTGATTCACCCAGATCCATGGGCCCCCCTGATTGCTTGGGCCCCCTACTTGAGGATTGGTGGTACCCCCTTAACCACAGCCCTGACTGCCACTTCCTGAATGTCTGTTTTTTTTTCATACCTAAATTTTCTATGTAAATACCATGCCACGCCTTCAAACATTAGGCGTGCAGTTGCAGTGTAGCCGTAATTTTTTAAAAGGGTAATTTTCTGCAGTGGTAAGACCCTCAGCAGCTGCATGGTATATTTTAGGTAGGCATATGGGGGCAGTAAAACCACAGCTCAACCACCTTTTTTTAATACCTGCCGTTCGCCTGTATGAATGAGGCCAATGAATATATTCCCAAACACTCCTACCCTCTACAGCCTCCTTGAAGTCTCTCGCATTCAGAAAGTTGAAAACAGGTTTCTTGCAGCCACTAATCATATTCCTCTCTTGGAGATTTCAATCTGATTGTCTCAACTGAAACCTAGTAGAGATAGAAAAAGTTATACATCACAGGTTTCCAGCAGGCAGACTCAGCCAAGGTATGTATGAAGCGCTATCTGAATTCTTGGTCCCGTAAATTACAGCAAACACAAATTAAAGCAGTGAGAAAGGTTTTTTTTTTTTTTGCCAAAACTCTGATTTCTTAAAATCTGGTGGGCTTTGTAGGTCTCCCTCAGGCATTGCAATGGGACCTGGCATTGTCTA